TGCCATCTTACTAGCTTTTTTATAGTCAAGTTCTTTTTTGTTGTTTGATCATTTTTTTCCAGCCTATTTCTTGACTTTGAACTTTATGTTAAAGTTGGGCTGTGCTCACTTGGTAGTAGAGAGACCCTGTCCCAAGCTTCAGGGCTTTTCATGCTACTTTTTCACAGCTAGCTCTGGGGGTCTGCAAATTTTTCAGTGCTTCCAAGGTGGCAAGATCTGGGAAGATGTGTAGTCACTGCTCTCCTTGTCTGATTTCTGGTCTTTAGCCGAGAAGGACCTCTATTCCCGTGAAGCCATACATGCTAGCATTCCTCTGGGCCCTGGAACTGTGACCAGGTCCCCTGCTCTTCTGTAGCCACAAGATCTAGGACTCCTCCCTGCCTTGGAACTGTGACTTGGGCTCCTGCTCCCTTTTGACTGACCCCAAACCCTCATCTCTACCCTGGAATTACACTGCATATTGCATTGTAGTTGCCTATCTGTGCCATCTCTACTCAGTGCCAGGAAAGTGCCCCATAATCACTTTTGGACCAATTGTCCAACTCCCTTACCATGTCTGGGCTGTTAGCCATAGAAGCCACTGTTATGGCAGCCTCCTAGGTCCACCTCTGGTGCTGCTGCAACCTGAACTTCAGGCCAGCCCCCACCCTGGTATCATGGACCTCTCCTGCCAACTTCTTAAGATACATTAGGCTAGAAAAATGTCTCACTCTGACTTTTTGTTGGTTCTACCACTCCAGAATTCAATTTTAGGTGTTATTTTAAAGTTTTTGGAGGGGAATGTTGGGAGACTTCAGCAGAGTTGCTGCCTGTACTCTGCCATCTTGGTTCTACCTCACTTAATTGTTAATTAATGACAAAAAAGTATTCAACTCAGCAGAACAAAATGCTGCCCTACAGCTCTTTTACCAGCTGCCTCCTACATCAGAGATTACAGAAGCAACCAGTAGGTTGGATACCACTCCCAATCCCACCCCCTGGCAAATTCCACCGATGCCAAGCCTCAAATTAGCATTTCCAGGAGCAAACAGGTGACTGTAGTCTCCATGTGTTAGAAATTGCTTAAATTCCCTTGCCTCTTTGGAAAAATTCTCAATTTCCCTCTTTTGTATTCTGACCCCGCACACAGAGCAGATAGTCTTCTGCCTCAGAGTTGCCCCTCTGAGCCAAGCTGAGAGACCTTGAGGGAACAGGAAAAGATCCTTCTGCCCTGTGTTCATAACTTTCATTGAACCTAGGGATGGGACTGCCTGCCTATTCAAAGGAAAGCATTGGCTGATTGTGCCCAGAATGCATAAAATGTATCTGGGCTTGAAAAATGGGAGCAATGAAAAGTCTTTCAGACCTGAGCTAAGAAGAGGAGACATACTGACAGAAGGCAACAGAAGGCACAGAGAGAAATTTAAGGAGGAGGAAGCAAAAGCTATTATTAAAGATGAAAATTTTCACAGACAAGGGAGATTAAAAGATGAGTGTGTGTGTGTGTGTGTGTGTGTGTGTGTGTGAGAGAGAGACCGAGAGACAGAGATACATAATGAGACAGACACAGAGACAAAGAGGTCTATATGTGTGTGGGATATGTTTGCATATGTGCAAAAAAAGAATGGAGAAGGGGAAAGTTGAGAGGGCAGGAGAAGAAGAAGAAAAACGCAGAAGATAAAGATTTTTTACTTGGAAAAAAAAAGCCCTCCAGAGAAGCTGCTTGCTTTGCAAGACTGTTTCTAAAGAAGCAATACTAGTAAGCATATTCTTTCCCTTAAGGAGAATCTACTTGCAACCTAGCAGCCATTCTCCTTGGCTTTAGTTCTGGGAATTTTAATAAAAATTTGATAAGCTCTGTCAACCTCTAAAAACATCAGATCCAGAGCCCTTGGTGACATTCTAGCTGGGAAAAAGGGCTGTTATCAGGAGAGGCCAAATACTCACAAATTTTACATTTGATCTTATTTTCTAAAGATCCACATTGAAAATGCAAAGTCGTGTTATCTTTTATCGTCACATTCAATACAATTTGCAGAGATTCAGTCTCAGCTGTTGAAGCTTGAGATTGTGCCTCCCAGCAACCAGTTTCCAGTGTTCAGTTCTCCAGATTGCTCATCCAAAAAACCAATTTGCCAAGAAAATAATCCATTTCTTCCTTCAAGTTTCAAACCATGACTTCAATTGGGTATCCACAGACTGTCAGAGGACAGAGGGCCTTTATCCAAACTGGAATGTTTCCGGAGCTCTTCCTGGCTGGCACATGAGATGCCATGGCAACATACTGGGCAGGGACTTTCTCAGAGCCACCAAGATCATCCCTTCTCTCAGGCCCAGATAATTTGGAATTAAAATCTAACGGGAAGATCTCTGTCTTTCCATTTTTGTGACCTGTAGTGTATTTCACCAGAATAGTAGAATTTAAAACCAGAAACAGTTGGGAAAGTTGCATGTTACTCTTTCAGGAAACCATCTATTCAAATATTTACCACAGCCCCAAACTAATAGATTAAATTTGATAAAATTCAAGGCCAGAACTGCAACTGCCAAAAGGAACAATGGCCTCAGCTACTTTTATTGGTTCTATGATGTCAAATAACCTAGTGTCGCCACCACTAGGAAGCTCTCCCATGTCAAATGACAAATGTTAAACATAGGCATGTGTGTGTGGTATAACTTTTATGTTGCTAATCTGAACCTGGGATTTCATTGACAAGGAGAATCCCTGTTGTGAAAGTTCCCACCACTTGGGAGGATCAGCAACTCTCTGTGATTATTGATTACAAACCAACACTCCTAGAAATTCTGTGACCTATAGTCTTAGAGTTGTCTACGGCAGTGAAAGTTTAAGTAACTTGCTCATGGTCACACAAGTTGTTATGTGTCACAGGAAAGACTTGAATCCAGCACTCTGGATTTACTTATATGTGTGCGTGTATCTGTGTATACACATATGGGGGTGTGTGTGTATATGTGTATACACACATACACATACTTATGTACATAATCTATATCTATACATTAGGTACATGGACTCATGTGGATCTGGTAGACCATGAATTCTTTGAGAGCAAACGCTGTAGCACAGTGCCTGGCTTACAATAGGTGTCTAATAAATGCTTATTGACTGACTGGTGTAATCCCTACTTGTCTAAGGAACAGCCGGTCTTAATGACATAAGCATATATATACATATGTATGTGTCTATATATATATATATATGTATATATATATAAAATGTGTGTGTGTACAAGTAGGTACATCAAGGACCTATGATTTCATGAATGTGAACTCTTCATCCAACTTCACAGATCACAAATTTCTCTAACTTAAACTCTTAGAGAGTTGTCTGAGGCTCAGAGAGGTTATATGATTTATCTATATATGGAAGGAAGGAATAAGCATTTATTAAGCACTTACTATGTGCCAGGCACTATGATATTATCTCATTCGATTTTCACAACAACCTTGGAAGGTAGGTGCTATTATAATCTCTATTTCAGTTGAGGAAACTGAAGTAGACAGGAGTACTTATAGGTACTTACAGGATATATATGATGTATGTACATATTTATGTATGTTGTATTTTTGTGATGTGATTGTTTACATACACATTTGGGGGTGTAATACCCATCTCTGGGCCCTCTTCAGCAGAAGTCATGCTTTGTGTCATCTTCTAAAAATGTGAATTGTGATGATTCCATGGGGCACAAAAATTTCTAATTTTAGTTTTGTTGGTGAGTGGCACATACCCCCTTGCAGAATGAATAGAAAGTTCAGTGGTCTTCATTGGTATTTAGATGTTGTTTTTCTATGTACAGAAAACAAAAGTAAAACCTTTGATAGCATTTCTTAACCTCCAACAAATGCCAGGTGGTGTTACAGAGCTGTCTATCCATTGGCCTCAGAGTATCTGAGACCCTCCAGACTACTCAAGGGGTGGTGGTGAGGGAGAGGCAGAGAAAATTCTAACCATAACTGACCCCTGTAATTTGTCTTGGTCCAAATCTCCTTCAGGTAATTTCTATAAGCCTGAGTAGCTCCGGTTTCAGTGAACTTTAGAGGGCATCTGCTATAGGCCCACTTAATAAAAAATCCAGCTGGCATCACATCAGGACATTTTGATGATCCTGAGGTGGAGAAAAGGGAAAGGGAACATGCATTTATTAATCACTCACTAAGTGCCAGGCACTGGACTAAGTGCTTTACAGATATCTCATTTGATCCTCACAACAACCCTCAGGCCATCCCAAAGTGTTATATAATTTCCCTGCAGGCTAATCCAAGGCACCCACTTAGTTTGGTCTACTCTCTAGGATATTGCTGTTTCTAAAATTCATTTTGTTTTATTTTTTTTGGGGGGGGGGGCTAGGCAATGGGGTTAAGTGACTTGCCCAGGGTCACATAGCTAGTGAGTGCTATGTGTCTGAGACTGGATTTGAACTCAGGTCCTCCTGACCCCAGGGCCAGTGCTCTATCCACTGCGCCACCTAGCTGCCCCCTAAAATTCCTTTTAAATGAACCTATAGAATAGGGTTGTGAACTGTTTCAAAAGTCATCTAGTTTGCACATCTAGTCACATTAATAGTGCTTAGGGTTCCACATAACTGTTTCATTATATCATTCTAATATAAGTAGATCAGTATTTGATGACACATTATCTTTAAATATCTGAAAAATTAAATTTTTAAGTAAATATTTAATTTAATTTAATTTAAGTAAATATTTGAAATCCCATGACTATTCTAATAATTGTGCTAAACTGCTTCTTTTGCTTACAGCAGCATGTATAACAATGAAAACCTATTGGGAGAGTTCAAATACAGCTTCTGTTCTTGATGGTTGAAATTAGTTTTAGAGTTTGTATATTTCTGTGGCCACTCAGAAAGAAGTCATTTGATCTCCAGAATTATAATAAAATTTTGAATCATATTAATATACATGTATTTTATTAAATATAAGTATTAAAAGTCAATAGTTTAAAAAATTAAGAAACTTCTTTTTTTATTATTTCCATTTAGGGAAACCTCAGTGAGAATGGAGCAAGTGTCCCTAGAGGAGAAAAGGTAAATGGAATTTGAATTTTTTTTAAATTATTGAGTTTTTTGTCAAGTTAGACTTTTATATCTAGGGGAAATGGCTACATTTTTGAGTCTAAGCACATAGGGTGGTCATCCAGTTTGCTATATGAAACATCTGCCTGCAGGCTATGTGGCAGTTTGGGGGTTAGCCAGGAGGGCACTTTTCAGGAAAGATTGTTGAATAGCATTTGGAGATGGTGCAAAGAATGAATCAAGGGGAAATAGTTATAACATGGTGAATGTTTTTAAGCTACAAGTTCTGGTTTATCATTGGATATTCCTTCAGTTTGTATAAGTGAAAAAATTCCAAACATTTTGTGGCAGTAGATGATCCCTTTCTATTTAAAAAAAAATAAATCATTTAAGCATTCAAACATAAACCTTTGAGCTTTATTTTAATGTTTTATGATAGAAAAGAATGGCTTACACATAATAATGCCTGGTTTCTCTCAAAAGTGAATTATCTCACTACTGAAGTTCTAGTGAATTTCTGTTGTGGTCTCACTTTCTAATTTCTATCTTATTTATGAATGATTGTGTGAACCCTAAAGTGGGCAGGTTCACTTTTAAGGTCGCCAGAACTTCCCCCATTTCTACCCTCTCTTTTCTCCACCATTGCTTCAGAAACTGGTAAATTTCATTTCCACAGTGACTATAATTGCATTTCCTAACCTAGTTACAGCAACACACATTAAACCTCTAACTAGAAATAAGGTGGTTAAAAAATCCTGTAGAGTACAGAGTAATAAAGTCTCTGTTCATGGTGCTTTCATTCACCTGCTAAGAATTCTCATGATTAAGGGCAGAGCATTTTGACATGAATCTTGAAATTATAGTTTATATGTCTTATATGCCAGCCCATTAAAAACATTGTGCATCTCCAATGCAGAAAATAGTGCCAAAGTGCCAATTCAGTGGAAATGGAGAACAGCAGGGAGTCTAATTTTATGTCCTTTATGCTTTGTGTAGATTGACCATTGAAAATGAAGCTTTCTGCAAGGGGGAACAAAACTTCTGACATTCTTGAAAAGAAATCAAAGAATTTAACTTGTCCATATTTTTCATAATGGGATGTCTTACAGAAACATAACACATTCTAGAAAATGAGTCAGAGTTTTCAATTAGTTGTAAAGTTAGAGGCAGATAAAATTTTTTTAAAAAAAAGTCATTCCCAACTTGTCCCATGAGACAAATGAGTCAAAAAAAAGGTGTGGCCCTTTAAAAAGGATCTAAATGATGATTTATTTCTCAAAGAAAAAAAAAACAGCTGACATGTTTTGCCAGATCATACTTTATTCATTAGGAAACCCAAGTTACTTTAGGAACACTTAAAACTTCACAGTGATGAGAACTGATTCTGTGGAACAGGTGTATCAAGCCCTGAAGACCTTAACTGTTGCTCATATCTCCTCTCTCAGAATCTTAAATGAGGTAGAATTAGAGAGAGCCAGTTCCATTATGAAAATAAGAAGAAGAAACAGCCTAGAGGAGAGAGCAGAGATCTTGAGACAATGTGTGATACACATGAACCAATGGAGATTAGAACGCATAACTAACTGAAGGGTAGAAAACTGTACAAATAAGTAATGCATTGGAATTGGGTAAATTGACTAGGAAACATGAATGTTAGTCACCTAAATATAACAATCAATATGTAAATAAAATCAACACATAAACATAACCTTTCAATATTGGGGTTTTTTTTTGTTTGTTTTCTGTTTTTTGGTTTTTTTGTGTGAGGTAATTGGGGTTAAGTGACTTGCCCAGAGTCACACAGCTAGCGATTGTTATGTGTCTGGGCCAGATTTGAATTCAGGTCCTCCTGACTCCAGGACCAGTGCTCTATCCACTGTGCCACCTAGCTGCCCCTCAATATTGGTTTTGAAAAAAAATTAATGCTTCCTTATGTTTCCATTGATCCTAGATTCCTCAATATGTTTGTTCTTTCAACAGTACAAACTGAAATGTGTCCATGCGTTTTCATCCTGTACAATCTATGTCTATTTCTATAGACACATATATATATATATATAAAATTTATGTCTATATAAATCTTCTGCAGAGTCTATCCAATGCATAGGAGACCTTACAGAGTTTGCAAAGCATTCTCTAGATAGCAATGCAAAGCTTGAGCTGGATATCTTTTATGTCTCATTCTCAATTTATGAACATCCTACTTACTTTTCAGTTATACAATTCTAGTAATCATTGGTAATACACTACATTACATCTACCATGTTTTTCCCTCCATTGCCCTTTGGATCCCCCATAATTTTGATTTTGGAGTGATTGTAATTTCCTGATTTGCAGTCAGATCTCATTATGAAAACATTGGTTTAAAAAGTGACTTGGAAATATTGAAAGTGCTATGAAATTTATTCAGTGCAACTTAGCCTTCATCCTGTTTGATTCTGGGTCCAGATTATTTGTCCACTTGAAGTGCCTGTCTAAATTACATGTATTAATTCAACTGACTGCCCATTCACTACAGAATATTTTTGATAGGCATTCATCATTAATTTGTTTTTTTTTTCTCATGGAGATTGATAGTCTGATATCTTTTGAGAGATCAAGGATCACATTGAGGACTCCCTCTAGTATTCTTAGGCCTGATATAGTAAGCCAGAGGTTATTGTTCAGTTATTTCAGTTGTGTTCAACTCTTTGTGACCCCCATTTGGAACTCTCTTGGCAAAAATACTGGAGTGGTTTACCATTTCCTTCTCCAGCTCATTATACAGATGAGGAAACTGAGGCAAACAGGGTTAAGTGACTTGCCCAGTGTCTGAGGCCAGATTTGAACTCAAGTTGAGTCTTTCTGACTCCAGGCCCAGCACTCTACCTACTGCACCACCTATCTGCTCTATGTTTTGCACAATGCCATCACAAATAGGAGCATATGGAGCATCAGTCGGGAATTCCTCTTCCATTTGGACCCTCCACAGTATTTGAAATAATATCCTAGGAAGAATACTTGCAAAGGTATTTATAAACTTTTTAGCAGTTATAAATGTGAGCTATTACTATTAAGACTAAAGTGCCACAGGGCATGTCATTCCATGAGGAATGGTAAGCTCTCAAGAATGAGACTCTGAACATTCAAAAAGAATTCCCCTGAAGTGGAAAAGAGATATTCGTCTCAAGAGACAGATGTGGCTGCCTGGGGCACTCACTTAGATTCTAAGTAGACATATACAGATGATGGAAGCAATGGCAGACAACAGAGGATAAATATAAACAATAACAACTAACATATAAATAGCACTTACTAAGTACCAGGCCATGAGACAGCCCTAGGAGAATAGTGTCAGGAATGCTAATGCTCAGAATGAGCCCCAGCAAAGATAAGGACAACAAAAAGTGTCGGGGGTTTTTTTTTGGGGGGGGGGGTCTTTTGACTTAATTTGTTTGTTTGTTTTGCTGAAAAGGGAATGAAGGTAGGGATGAGGCCACTGCTCAGTGTGGATGAGATAATGATTGTCAACAGAGAAAAGGCAGAGCTGTTCAACTTTTTTTGGGTTTGTTTCTATTTTCTCTGCCGAGAAGAATGATCTTTGGACTGTTATGGACAGAACCAAAATGGCTATTAGGCTACCCAACAGAAGTAGTAGGGAAATAGAAAGAAATTATCTAGTCTCCCTTGATGAGTTTAAGTCACTTGTCCTAGATGATCTACATTCTATCCAGAGGTGAGGAACCTGTGGCCTCAAGGCCACATGTGGTCTTCCAGGTCCTCAAGTGCAGCTCTTTGACTGAATCCAAAGGATTTGTTTTGTGAGGTTTGGATTCAGTCAAAGGGCCACACTTGAGGACCTAGAGGCCCACATGAGGCCTTGAGGCCCCCCTGCTTACGCTAGTAAGTCTCATATTGATTCCTGGAAAAGTTTTAAAACTAATTATTAGAAGCATGGTGCTTCCCCATAAATCTGGAGTAACCATTGAGGAATTCATCTATTTTGATAATTATCATCATTAACATCCTTTGCATTGGTTTAGAATGTTTTGAATTTTCAAAAATATTCTATGTAATGTGTAAAACAATGTTATAAGATATATAATAAATTTTCTGAATTAAAAAGAACTAGATTTGGAGTCAGAGCACCTGGCTTTCAAGCTCATCTACTAACTCACAGCTTCTACTCACTACTTACTAACCTTGGTCGTCACCTCACTTCTCAGGGCCTCAGTTTCCTCATTTATCAAACAACAAGGTTGGACTAAATTATTTTTAAGGTCCCTTCCAGTTCTAAAATTGTAAGCTTTTGTATGCATGGAGAAAATTACTTTATAAGGTTATACTAAGTAGTAGGGGCTGCTAGATGGCTGTGCTAGACCTGAAGTCAGGAAGACCTGAGTTCAAATTTGGCCTCAGACACTTAGTAGCTGTGTGACCTCTTTTTGCCTTAGTCCCCTGGAGAAGAAATAGCAAACCACTCCAGCATCATTTGTCAAGAACCCTACGGCTAATATTGGCATGATATGGATCTGTGGGTTTATGAAGTCAGACATTATTGAACGACTGAACAACAACAACTTAGTAGAAATCTGATCTCTTGACTCATAAACCATTAGTATATCCATTAGGCCATACTGAATGGTTTCTAAAGTTTATGTGCAGAAAAATATATGTTAGCAGCTGGTGGCCAGTTGAACTAGAATTCATCGCCTAGACAGAAAGCCTATTGTGCATATTAGTACAACTCTCTATCCCCTCCCTTCGCATGAGTAAAGCTTCACAAATAGCTCACTGCCCTTTGGAGGCCCAACTTTCCATTTCCAAGCAGCTCACTCCCCTCTTCTTTTGTGAGGATGAGTTTTTCTTTTAAACCCTAATGTATATAAAATATGGCAGTCTCTAGCAAGCAGGGAAAGTGGAAATGCCCACTCTTTGGTCCCTTTACAGCCTGCTCTTTTTACCAATTAGTGATTTTTTTTTAAGGTAGAGTCTTCAGTTTTCAACTCTTTGCTAGTCTTGTATAGTCTAATTCTGGAATCCCAGCTTTACCCGAAGGTACTAAGTGAGCTCTAAACCTCGGGGTTCAATATGAGCCATTGATTTCACCTCTAAAAGAAGGAACACTCTTGTCTTCTCCCTTTTTAAGAAACAAAGTAAATATTTAGAACAAAAGTTAATATCTCCCAATGCCAGAGGGAAGCAGTGAGTGTGGAGAGAGTAAAAGACTCACTATAGAGCATACTCTTTCTAGAGAAAGGGAAAGCATAAAGGAGAAGAAAGGTAATCAGTCTCTATCCCCTTCCTAACTGGATCACTAATACAGGATTCATCCTGGACATAGTTTACACATAAAACATCCTCTGGCTGAGAATTTGTAGCCACTGGTTGCAGTCTCCAGCATCTACTTTTCCATAGCCCTACGTTTGTGTCTCTCACTAGCAAGATGTCTGCTTTTTCCTCCACCTCTCTGCTTACTCAACTTCCCATCTCCTACCAAAAAATCTTCTTCTCTCAAGGTAGGAGAAAAAGGACTGAATCAATGGCACTCTGGGGAATGCTTCTATGTCAATACCTAAAACTCATGGGAACTTAGGAGCTACTGAGAAAGACTGTCCACCAGCAAGCAGCCCCTCTCTCCTTGCTCCATTTATAAGCCTTTTTTAGAAGGGCCCCAAAAGAAAAATCAAAATCACTTTGAAATTTGGCAAAGAATATGAAGCCAATGGGTGATCAAACTCCTAACCAAACTGAAGCAATGATAGGTGGAATTGGTTTCGTGTATGGCTTCAAAACAGATTTTCTATGGTAAGTAAATCCTGTATGTTGACAGTTTCAACACTATCATCTACAGATATTCCCAGAAAAGGCAAAACAGCAACTTCAGAGTTTCACAGGGCTAGAAAATAAACTAGGTCAGCTCCTTCATTTTACAGCTGAGGGAACTGATGCTTCTTTTTTTAGGCCTTAGAAAAGGTGAAAATATGAGAAAGGCAAATGCACACAAAACAGCATAATGTCTATTATTTTGCAAGGGGATCTTGAAATTTAAGGAATTGGCCCTAAAGAGTCATCCACGGATCTTGATGAATGCCAACAGGAAGCAAGAGTGGTTGGGTGTGTTTGAAATCTAATTTATGTTCTATTTCCTTTTATAAGCAGAATCTCTAAGATTGTACTTTCTTAGACATGATCTTATAAAGCTTTGTTCCTTATAAATCACTCTTTAGAAGATTCTTTGATGAGAGCATCTTGGTCTTCTCTGAAGTTACTGCCATCATATCAGCAAGAATGCCTTCTTTGTCTCTACTCAACAGTAATGTCAACGCTAAGAATAACTTAACCTCATTTTCATTCATATGACCACATGCTTCCAGAAAGAAAAAAAAATATGATGAAATATCTGAAACTGAATTCTGGATAATTGTGTTTCAGTTAATCAACATGACATATTTTGGATCACTAAACTAATGTGCCTTATCAGCTACTATAAGATAAAATACTCTCCATTACTTTTTCCTCCTCACCCCTAAATAGATTTTTCCATTTAAATGTTTTTATTGCATTTTTTAGCCTTATTTTAGGTAATAGGAAGGAAATTGATGGATTTTTAAAAGACCTACAGGCAGTAAGAACCACTGACAAATACTTCATTGGCCAAAGCATTCAATTTGATATAGAGCTTCTCATTCTCCCCTTCCTGGGTGGTAACAGCTAAATTCTGTTGTTAAAGGGAAAAGAGAAATACAGAGGGGAGGGCATGGAAAGAGGCTCAAAAAATGAACACAGATAATCAAGTCCATCCTGTTAATACTTCATTAAATTTATCATACACCTTTTAAACAAATCGTACAATATAGAAGCTCTTGCTTTCAGGTACAATCCTCATTTTTGTTTCTTGTATATTGAAATGTTTGTGTTTGTTGATTTTTGCTAAGTCTATAATTCAAAAGAAAAATTTGTAAATAAAGAGAAAAAAACCACTGCATTTTGAAGACACACAAAGTCATTATAATTCTTGATTTGATTTTTTAATGACATCTTTCTTCGTATTTCTTTGAAAGGGTGAAACTGGACAGCCTGGATTTCCAGGATCAGTTGGTCCTAAAGGACAAAAGGGAGAAATGGTAAGTATTTAAGACATGAGTGAAAGAAGGAATCTTCTAAATAGTGTTATCACTTTGCTGAATCTGTGTCAATTCTACATTCTTTAATTGTGTATCTTTTAAAGAAATATTATTCAGCCAAAATAAACCAGAAAATAAGCACATAAGTCACTCAATCAGTTAGGATTTATTAGGCAACTATTATGATCAAGGCATTATGCCAGATATTGAAGATAAAAATACTATAGTGAGACACTGCAAGTCCTTATGGGTCTTGGATTTTACTGTGGGTCTTGGATTTTACTATTAGACTTAGATTTCACATACAACATGTTCACGGATAAGTAAATACTAGATAAAAATGCCCAAAAAATGAATATAGTGATTAGGGAAGGGTCATTATAAATGAACGAGGTAGACGGGACTTAAACCTTGAAAGGAATTAGTAGTTCTAAGGGACAAGGAGGAATACTATTCCAGGCAGGAAGCCCAACCAGTGCAAAAACTTCAAGAGATGGGATGTTGTATACAGAGAACCACAGCAAGTAGGTCAATTTGGCTGAAGCAAAAAGTGTGTAAGAGGAAGTAATATGTAATCCACCTGAAAAGATTCTGGAGCCAGATTGTGAAGGGCTTTAACTCAGACTGAGGAGTTTTCATTTTATCTATCCTAAAAGCAATGGGGAGCCACTGAAGCTTTAAATTTTCAAGAAAAATATCCAGACTATGGTTCTAACCTCTCTAAAAAATTGGAAAACTTTCTCACCTATTTAGTCAACTATTCATTGGCCTAAAATGGTGCTCATGCTTAATCTAGAGTCAAAGCAACCAGCATTTATTAAACTCCTACAATGTGCCAGGCCCTGGACTAAATGCTCGAGGGAGAATCAAGGTGTTATCTTAAGTCTAATTTGAACCCATCCAAACATTTTCCTGGCCAACCTCATTTAGAATTTAATTCTCTCTAGTGGAAAACAAACAAACAACAGTATAGTTCATATTCAAATGCAACTGCACAAAGTGATTGTATAAGTCATAGTTTTAAGAAGTGACATGCTTTTTAGTTTTATCTTAGGCAAGAAAGAAAATGGGTCTCAAAAATGTTTAAAAAGTTTTCATCATTGACAAAATTAAATAAGCAATGTCAATCATTTTTTTTCTTCATAGGGTGAGCAAGGAAACGTTGGCTTACAAGGAATAAAAGGTGACAAGGTATATATGTGTGATAACTAAGAATAATACTGAAAGTATTTGTATGATTTTTCCAGTACCTTAGCTTAGTAAGTTAGGCACCTTCAGAAGCTGCATTGACTAGTTTAAGCCATTTAAATAGTACTTCAGAATACTCCTATAACTGGATTCATAGGACCTTAGCGCTGGAAAGGAGCTTAGAGGCAAAGCTCCACAGATCCCAAGACCTGGGTATCAAGGTGCCATGACACCTAGTGATTTCTCATAATGCCTGATATTTGTAATGTACTCTTCCCAGAAACTACTGAGAAACTACAGGAATGCTCTTTATTTTTACACCATTAATGTTTTACTATAATGATAACTTAAAAACATCTGTGGTACTCACTTGGGGATTCCTGAGGCTTCCATTATAACTGACCCATTTGTAGGCTTGGTCTCCCTTCACAATGAAAATTTCAGAGAAGAGAAACAATAGACCACTTCAATATCAGTCTGTCCCGATAAAATTTCCAGGGGATCTTTTAAAACTTGCTGCATAGGGGCAGGTAGGTGGTGCAGTGGATAGAGTTCTGGCCTTGGAGTCAGGAGGACCTGAGTTCAAATCCAGCCTCAGACACTTGACACTTATTAGCTGTGTGACCCTGGGCAAGTCACTTAACCCTGATTGCCTCACCCCAATAAAAGTTTCCATATAAAGCTAAAAAAAAAAACCACCTTCGGTATACCTTATAATTTAGTCCCAAGGTGATGCTAATTTGAATTTGGACCTGAAGTTGAGAACCCAGGTTGCAGATGCCACACTATAATAAAACTGCCCTTAAAAAATCCTTGCAAAGAAAAAAACCTATTTGTTTGGCTTCTAAATTTGACAGCTGACTTCTAGATCCAAACTGAATTTATCAAAGCACTGATTTAAAGATCCCTTAGTACAATCCCTTCATTTTACAGGACTGGAAACCTGGACCCACCGAGGTTAAGTGATTTGTCTAAGCTCACCAGCTAGTTAGTGGAAGAACCAGGACTAAAATGCAGGTCACATCACTCCCACATCAGTGGGAATCCAGATTGTAGGCTATAACCCTCTGCATAATATGGCTTCACTTACTGTTTCATTGTTTCCTTCTATTCTAATTGATTGGTCTGATTTAACGTGCTGCCATTATCCTTTAATCCAGATGATTGGATCCTTTTATGGAGATAGCAAAATCTTTCTATTATTTCAGCTGTTTCAGAAATAACAGCATCTCATCTCAGTAATGGGCTAAGCGCAGAAGCAGGCAAAAGAAAGGCAATATGTCTGTGATACATAATGTTAAGAAAACTTAATCAGTTTCTCCAGTTTATTTGAAGAAATTGGGGACATTCAGCCTGAAGATAAGAAGATTTGGTGGGGCACATGATCATTTTTCTCCAAATATGTAAAGAACTGTCATGAAGAAAATAGAATGAATTTGTTCTGTGAGACTCTAGAAGGAAGAAATAGAACCAATGGGAAGAAGTTAAAGGATATAGATTTCAACTCAATATAAAGACTTTCTATCAATTGGAGGTGTCTGGTAGCTCAGTAGATAGAGAACTGAGCCTGGAGTCAGGAGACCTGAGTTCAAATCCAACCTCAGACACTTCCTAACTGTGTGACCCTGCGAAAGTCACTTAACCTGTGATTACCTGACAAAATGGATTCAATAGATTAACTGGAAAAGGAAATAGCAAACCACTCCAGCATCTTTGCCAAGAAAACTGCATGGATAGTAGGTCCTCAGGGTCACAAAAGGTTGGATACAACTGACTGACTGAACAACAACAAAATCAATTGGAGCTATCTAAAAATGGAATGAACTGCTCACATAAGATAGTGAGTTCTATGTCCCTGGAAATGTTCAGTCAATAACTCAATAACATGCATTGAAGTGCCCACTACACAGGCAGCTAGGTGGCTCAGTGAATAGAGCACTAAACCTATAGTCAGAAAGAGCTGTGTTCAAATCCAGCCTTACACACTTATAACTCTGTGACCCTGGGCAAATTACTTAACCTCTGTCTGATTCAATTTTCTCAACTGTAAAATGGGGATAATAATAGCACTTCTATCTCACAGAGTTGTTATGGGGATCAAATGAGATAATATTTGTAAACACTTACTACAGTGCCTAGTACATAGTAGGCAGTTTAATAAATGCTTGTTTTCCTTTCCCTCTCCCTTCTGTTTGATAGGCACTGTGCGAAGGACTGGTTTTACAAAGAAAGCCAAAAAACCAGAAACAAAATAAACAGAAAACATTCCTGCATTGAAAAAGCTCAGTCTAATAGGAAAGACAACATTCAAGCAATCATGTACAAACAAGTTACAGACAGGATAAGTTGGAGGGAGTATCAGAGGGAGAGCAGAAAGGTTAAGGAGACCTAAGAAATGCTTCTTGTATAAGGTTGGACCTTTACTGAGACTTGAATGAAGCCAGGAGAGCCAAGAGACAAAGTTGAGGTGGGAAAGAGTTTCACTGCCAGTGAAATTTTCAAAAGTTAAGATTGTGCTATGCATGAGGATCAGCAAGGAAGCCAGTATTTCTGGATCACAGGTTGTGTGTGTGGAGGTGGGGAGGTTAGTTGTGGGGTAGAGAAGTAAGGGTAAGAAAACTGGAAAAGGTAGGACAAATTTTAAAGGACTTTAAAATCCAAATACAGGATTTTGTATTTGATCCTGGAGGTAATAGGGAGCCACTGGAGTTTAATGAACAGGGAAGGGGGTAACACAGTCAGACCTGCTCTCTAGGAAGATCAGTTTGATAGACAAATGGAGGATGGTCAGAAGTCTTATGGCAGAGAGATCAACTGGAAGGCTATTACAATAGTCCAGAGATAAATTAACGAAGGCCTGGACCGGCATGGTAGCAGTGTCAAAGTAGATAGTGGAGCATATAAAAGAGATGTTACAAAGGTAGAATTGATAGAAATCAACAACAGGTAGGATATAGTCAGGGTGAGAGAGAGTGAGGAAGCAAGGATGACACCTCATTGTCTGGGGGATTGGTGAAACCCTCAGCAGTAATACAGAAGTTCAGAAGAGGAGAGGGTTTGAGGTGAAAATGAATTAGGCCAATTTTGGACGTGTTAAATTTAAGAGGTCTGTAAAATGGGGATAATAATAGCACTTCTATCTCACAGAGTTGTTATGGGGATCAAATGAGATAATATTTGGAAAGCACTTACTACAGTGCCTAGCACATAGTGGGCAGTTTAATAAATGCTTGTTTTCCTTTCCCTCTCCCTTCTGGTTGATAGCCGCTGTGCTAAGGACTGGTGATACAAAGAAAGCCAAAAAACAAAAACAAAACAAACAGAAAACATTCCCTGCATTGAAAAATCTCAGTCTCCTTTCTTCCCCATCTTGATCCTTGTTGAACCAACATCCAGTTATGGATGTCCAGTCAACAGTTGAAGATAAGAAATGGAAGTCAGGAGAGGCATTAGGTCTAGACAAATAAATCTAAGAATCATCTGAATAGAAATGGTAATTAAATTCATGAGAGCTAATGAGATCACCAAGTGAAATAGTAAAGAGGGAGAAGAGAAGAGGGCCCAGAATGGAACCTTTGGGAACACCCACAGTTAGTTAGCATGAATGAGATGAAAAGTCAGCAAAGGAAATTGAGAAGGAGCAGTCAGACAGGTAGGAGGTGAGCTCAGAGAGGATAGTGTCACAAAATCTCTTAAAAATAAAGTAGCCGGGGGCAGCTAGGTGGCAGAGGGATAGAGCACTGGCCTTAGAGTCAGGAGGACCTGAGTTCAAATCTGGCCTCAGACACTTACTAGCTGTGTGACCCTGGGCA